CACGGAGCCCAGGATTAGTGGGGGAGCCCCCAGCTGACCCCGGGCTCCACGCCGCACTTTCACCTTTGAAGTGTAGCAACAGGCCTGGGGCTGTTGCTACACTTCAGAGGGGAGGCGCCCTATCGACTATCCGACTAGTCGATATTTAACACCCTTACCATGAGGCAGAGGCAGTCCGCTAATTCCAGGATGGTCCGTGCCTCTCACAAGGGAGCTCAGATTTGTGCCTGGGCTTCCTAGGTGCTACCGCAATGCAAACCCCAGCCCCTAATCGGACACCATCGCCCAGGGGCCTGGCAGCGCGGTGTACTAACGAGACGTGATTCTGCTGAGCGGCCAGTGCAAACCCTTTGGAGATTGCAGTTACAGCAGCCGTGGGGGAGGGGACGGCCTCCTTAACCGCACACAGAGCACAACATTTTGCGTCACTCCGCTCGTTTCCTGGACACCGAATGGCAGCCACAAGGGCCGGAAGTTCCTCCATGGCAGGGTGGAAGGAGAGCGGTGTACTAACGAGACGTGATTCTGCTGAGCGGCCAGTGCAAACCCTTTGGAGATTGCAGTTACAGCAGCCGTGGGGGAGGGGACGGCCTCCTTAACCGCACACAGAGCACAACATTTTGCGTCACTCCGCTCGTTTCCTGGACACCGAATGGCAGCCACAAGGGCCGGAAGTTCCTCCATGGCAGGGTGGAAGGAGATGAGGGTGGAACGAGATCGGCTGATTGGCTTAGTCAGAGATCGCCTCGGCTGGCTCTGGGGCCCGCGACACACGGCCTGTTGAAACGAGGGGTTCCTCTGAGCCATGCGGGTGGGGGGGCTTTGATGAGCGACAAGGCTGCGAGGCAGGTTCTGTGACCCATGGGAAGGGAGCGGAGCCGGGCGGAGCCTGCGCCCGACGTGGAACCCTTCCACCTGCACCAGATGGGAACAGAAATCAACTCGGCTTTAGGCTCTGGAGGGTTCCCAGCCGGGAGGGACCCTGCCTGGCCAGCCTGGCCCCTC